CCAGAAAAAAAAACCTGTAAGAAAAAAAAAAAAAAAAAAAAAAAAACCCTAAAGCAAGGAGCTTAGGATCTTAGGTGCATCTGTCTGTAGGCCGTACCATGTAATTCTCTTCCTTCATTGGATAAGTGTTAACTTAGTTTTTGTTGTTTGCTCTTTTGCTTTAAATATTCTACAAATTATCATTTATGCAGCAAGGTGAGTGTTATATTGCATGATATGCATTTATCTTGCCCCAAATTTTTCCAGTACTGTACAAGATAAAATAATGCCTATGGTATCATCTCTCACTTTTTTATACACTGTGATCTTAGCACAGTAGGGTACTACAGAGACCTTCCAAGTGTTCTCCTGACTTTCCTTCTTGGGCCATTTCAGTATCCTGTGATTTGTTTGTTTTGATTACTGACCCATGGTTGTCCTGTTTTATTCTAATTTCCAGAAAAACTATGTCCCAGTATTAGATTATTGCAAATAACTGTGTAAAACCAATGTATGATTCTGCCTTCCTTAATATTGATATTTACTGAGCAAATGCTTTTTTTTCTTTTTTAGTTTTAGGACAAACACAAACAAAAAAATAGAGCATTTCTCATGAGAAGTTTGGTAGTTTGGCAGATTTCTAATTCTTGAAATTCATCTCCTTGAACCGTCCAATGGGGAAGAATAATATAATACAAACACATGTTTTATCTTCTCATTAAATAATTTTATCTTATTAAAATAAGCTTTTTTTTTTTTTTTGTTTTGTAGAGTCAGCTAAGTACCCATCATTTATATTTAAATACTGGTTTTTCTTGTTTGTTTTGTAAACTGAGCAATCAAACACCGTTGGGTGGTCCTGGCTTTAATATTTTATCAGCCATTTCAAAATTAAATATAAAAATAAATCCTTTGTAGGAGACTTGCATCTTGATTTTTTCTTTATTACAGTTGAAGTGTAAATAATAAAGACAATGTAAAACCTTCCTCATGTCTAATATAAACTGGGCCATAGCAACTTGCCCTATTTTTATTAGGTTTTGAAGGTTTTTGTGGGGCTTTTTTTTGTTGTTGGTTTTTTTTTTTTATTTTTTTTTTTTATGTACAGTAGAGTGGTGTCTGTGTAAGTGTTAACTGTAGTGGGATTTTGTCCAACAAGCCTGAAATTTATACTTTGAAATAAACTACTGCGTTTTTAACATTCTGAGTACTCTGATTCATTCTGATTATTCTTGGCCCTTGTATTTTTTTCTTTTGCAAATATCCAGCCTTGTCTAGAATAACCCATTATACTTTCTAAAATACGGCTTATTTAACATACTTAACAATTTTGCCTCCTAAACCGTATATAATTCACCAACATTGAAAGAAAAGTTGTTACACATAGTTGCTAGCAAATTGGATGTGGTATTTCTGCCCAATGGGAGACCACAGTAGAGTTTAGAATATTGTATGCCTAACCTGCACCATAAAGAGTCTGAACTAGTGCCTGTTATTGACCAGAAAAATCACTAACTACATTTCTGATAGAGATTGCTTTAAAATGCAATTCTGATACCTGTAGGGCTTTGTCTTTAAGCATATCCAGCTAGGGGATATGCTAGGAGAGACATGGGAAGAATATACATTGTTATGGTCCAGTCCTGGTGCAGCACTCTTCTAACTCCATGAGCTTAGACTCAGTCTTGAGCACAACCACCCTCAGAGATGTCATCCTTGCTGGCAGTCTTAAAAGGAGAATATGAACTGTGATGAAGGAGAGAGTAGTTTCTGCCATATCTTCTTATAAATTACTTTATATGCTGAAGCCCAATGTTATCATATGTGATATTTCATTTAGTGTTCCCCTATAGTGAATGCTTATTTAAAACAACACAGTGAAAAATGACATTGACAAAAGTGACTTTAATATATTTTATTAACAGTAATTTTTACAGGAAAAACTAAATAATGCCTTTGTTATCTTCTTTGCCATTTTCTATTTCCTTGTGTTCCTCATCTCCCTCTTTCATTTTATGTCAAGTTTCAAAACTGGTTTCATGGTAATAAAATCAAAATTGTAGGCCTCTGGCATGCCCTGGTGGACAGTTTTGTTGAAGCGGTTCCAGTGAAAGACAGGGAGGCCATCTTGTACTGTGGGACCACTAATGGCATAGGCTGTGTACTGAGAGGCTAGGTAAATATCTGCCACCTGGAAAGAGAGAGGAGAGGGTTTTATTTTAGAAAACCATTTGGAAAAAATGAATAAACACATGGCCTGTTCCCCACTTCTCTAAAGTGGGGTTTGGAGTATCTAAATTTTCTTGCAAATAAAATGTTCTTGCAGGCTTCCACCTGATTTTATATGATAGACTTTTCTATATGCAATTGGCACATATATGTGAATTCATTAGTAGTATTAACACTGTAGCCAAAAGTGCAATCTGTAGTCAGATTACTCCTATTCAGAATTCTGACTCCAAAACTTACTGAAAAATTGGGCCAGCAGGTTATGTGGTGGTTAAGGCGCTAGCTAGATCCCACATGCTGACAACACAGTGTGAATCCCCTGGAATGCGCCTGCCTGCCCAAAATTCTGAGAGGAGATTGGAGAAGGGACTTTGGCATGGTCATCGCCTCTGGGCAATCATTTCTCACTTTCTCTCCCTCTCTCCTGTGAGTGCTTGTACCCTATGGGAAAAATAGAAGTAAAAGTTACTAAATACCTTTATGACTCAGTTTTCTCTTTTAAAGTGGGCTAATAACTTTATAAAATTGTCAAGAGGATTAAGGAAAACAATGTTTAGAGCAATTCCTTGAATATGTTAAGTCCTCAATAAAGTTGTTAATAAGAGAAGTAACATGATTTTTAAAGTAGAAAGAACTTACTATAAAAAAATTAGGACTATGGTTATCAGGGGAAAAAATGAACATCGGGTAGCAGCAAATCTTTTTTTTTTTGCAGCAAATCTTAATCATAGAGGGGAAGAAAAATTTCCTAACTTCTGATTTTCTTCATGTTCAAAATGGTACTAAAGAACTTACATAATAAGAGAAGTAACATGATTTTTAAAGTAGAAAGAACTTACTATAAAAAAATTAGGACTATGGTTATCAGGGGAAAAAATGAACATCGGGTAGCAGCAAATCTTTTTTTTTTTGCAGCAAATCTGAATCATAGAGGGGAAGAAAAATTTCCTAACTTCTGATTTTCTTCATGTTCAAAATGGTACTAAAGAACTTACATTTTAAAAATATATTCCTACACAGAAATGTTTTGGATGAAAATATGGCAGGCTCCCTCTTTTCAAAAGTGAAATTTGGCTGTATATATTCTTAAAGGTTTTTGACGAAAAGATGGCAGGCTCACTGGTTTCCTAAGTGAAATTTGGCTGATGAAAGCTTGGTTTGGGTTCTCTGCTTCAGAGCAGCAGAGGTAATTTTCTTTGTATATTCTGGGGTGGATATAATTCCTCACACAGTTTTCCAAATGTTTGCAAATGCCATTAAAAAGAAAATACGAAAAGTATTCATTGGGCTTCATGTGTGTTGGGTACTCTTATTACAATTGCTTCCTGCTCCATTCTCCTCTGAGAATTTTGGACATGCACGCACACACGCCTGGTGTGAGTTTGAAGCTGCCGTGTCCTGTCCAGGACTGAACTGTGGTCAGCCATGTGGGAGTCCAGCAACATAACAATTATGCCATCTGTTGGTCCTTTGCTTTTTTTTTTTTTAATGATTAGGTTTTTGCCATAGAATTCTCACACTTGGCTAAAGAGAGACTACAGAGAAGAAAAGTTAGAAATCACTTTTCCAAGGGGGCTGGCCATGCTATAACTCTTCATTGTCCCTTCAGGATTTGGGGCACATGTGCACAACATTAGTGTGATTTTCAAGCCACCGGGGCCAGGACTCAAACCATAGTCAGCCATGTGGGAATCCAGCACCTTAGCCTCTATGCCACCTGTTGGCCCCATTTATTTATTTTTTTTAACATTACAAGACAATTGAGTAAAGCTAAAGCTTTGCCATCATCACATAGCTAAACAGTAGGTTAAACTACAATTCAGACTATTGCATCTCCATTAGGTATTAGGCTGAAATGAAAATAATGTGTAGGTAAGGTTTGCTTTCCTATAACTTTGAGCCAAAGAGAACAGTTAAGTCTGCTCCTCCCAGATTTCTTACAGAATTTAGGACAGGCCGTGTAAATGAAAAGACATGTGCAGCCAAAACTACAAAAGGCTGTGGTAGAATGATTTTAACCACCAACCAGATGACTAACTTATACCCTTGGATATCTCTAAACCCCTGGGCTATGCAGATAAATTATTAATAACCAGCTCACTGAGGAGAAAAGGCTCTCATTAGTACTGTTTGTTGATTGCCATAGTGTAAATACTCCTATTATGGCTGATTTTGAGCTGTCAGCATGGTATCAACTGACTAACAATTGGTTCTTACCTCTGTGAGCAAACTTCAGCACACCACTGCAAACCTATATATTACCTATGTTATGTGAGACTCTGAAGCTCTTACCAGTGCTTTGGGCAGTCAGGCCAAAACTTGTTCCTTCTGCTAAATTCAATTCATGTTTAATGTGAAATCACACTGTTTTCAGTAAGATGTTCTTTGGACTTTGGACCCATCTGGTAAACTTACCACATTATTGTTATCATCATGATTGTGTACTTTAAAAAATAGCCAAGTACTCTTCTAAACATTCTATAGATATTAAAAGTTTATTCTTAGTCATAACACCCTGAAAGGTAAGTGCTGTTATTTCCATTTTATAGATGAGGAAATAGAAACATTACAAAACTATGTGATTTACTATTAAGTGGCAGAGCAAGGACTTGAATGAAGTTAAACAAGAGGACTTACCACCAGAATTGGAAAAGGCTGGTTCCTGAATTAAGTTTATAGTGAGATATTATTGTGCTTTTATAAACTACAAAACCCTCCTCAGCTTTGTCTGAAAAGGCCTATGTGATGGTGGAAATTAAATCCATAAGCCAATAGGATGTTACCTTTGTGTCATAGCAACCTCCAGGACTTGGGTTAGGTGAGTTTAAGTCCTCACGGCAGCAGATGGTATTACAGGGGTCACCTTTACTGTAACGGTCCTTTTTATAATCTAGGAAATAGATGGTGATGGGGAAAAGGGTTAGCATTGGCTGTTCTTAGATACACTTACCCAAGGACAGTTTTTGGACCTGTTAGAGTATGTCCCCATAGGCCTCAGCCCAACCTGATCCCAGGTACAGACGTCTCCCTTGGCTTGTATTAGGAAAGAGCAACTGTGGGTCCTCTGCCCCAGGCCCAGCCCAGCCTCAATACCTTGCACAGTGAAAAGAGGATGGAAGAGAGAAGAAGATAAACGTGCATCACTTTTTTCCAACAAAAGAAAGAAAACTTGACTTCGATACTGTTCATCAAAAATAAAGTTATGAATGCTTTAAATTTTATTAGCTGCTTTTTTATCCTTGGAAGAACATCTGTGTTTGGAAAAATGACAAACAAAAAACCCTGCATAGATTATTTCTTCTGTGTTTTACATATAATTTTTCAATTTAAAAATCTGTAGATTCTTCTTGGTCATTTTATAAAAGGCCAAAATTTTATGTATTGAGCATAAAATATGTATAGTATTAATTGCATACTAAATAAATTTAACATCTTATAATTTCTTCTAGTACAGAGATGATAAACTTACATGGATTCTTTATCCATGGGGAAGAAAAGGAGTTTTGAAGAGTGATTCTTGAGAAATGTGCTACGTACTGTTGTATCGCATGATATATTTCATGGATTCCATGTCAGTCACTTTCCCTTGGTCACGCCGGAAGATTTTGGCTCGTGGAGCTAAATCGTAAGAAAAGTCCAAACCCAGCTTCTGAACTAGCAGTGGATAACCACTCCAGTTGTAGATTTTATCATGGAAAGGAATGTTGTAGGAGGGCCAGTATCCTGATTGGGAAGGGAAGGACGTGTGGGATGGACAGGGAGACAGAAGAGAGAACAAAAAGGGGAAGTTATTAATGATGATTTATTTTGAAAATTGGCACAAGTGTCACATTGTATAGAACATAAAGCTTTTAATGTGAACCCTGGCAGACAAACAGTCTTTTAAATTTCCGGAATTGATACACCTCTAAATTACTTTATTAGGGGAAGCAGAGCATCATAAGTACTGGGTTTGCACCCAAATTCTTTCTGAAAAAAATTTTTTTAAATGTTTATTTATTGTTACTATTTTTAATGTGATACAGGTCACATGTGCTCACCAAAGAGGGAGAAGGAAAGTGAGAAAGCAAGCTGCTGGGTCTGGGACTTGAACTATATATAGTCAGCCATGTGGGAGTTCAGCACCTTAACCACTACACTACCAGCTGGCCGCCCACCCAAATTCTTAACCTATAAGCCAGAAAGTAATATTACTCTCTATAGAGTAAAATGAAGTAGAATGCAAAGTGGCCTAGAGAGCCCTTCTAAGAGAATTTAATTACTAAAATGCCGTTAAGATAGTTCACAATGTGGCCCTGAAAGGGAAGGCACTGGGGGGAGGGGTGTGATATGGGATAGTGGAAGAAAACCTGAATTCTAGTCTCAGGGCTGAATTAGTGACTCAGTTAACCTCATTAACAAAACTTTTGTTTGTGGTGAGGAGGTAAAAGTTTGTAATGTGAGGAGGTTGAGGGGGCTGCAAATTTCTTTTTTAAGATTCCAGCAGACTTTTTTTTTT